CACTCACCTACAGCAGGCTCTCTTCAAACCCCGGCCCTCCCAGATCTTAACCATCCATTTACTCTATATGCAACAGAGAATGGGGGAATGGCCATGGGTATTCTAGGGCAAATGAAGGGACCCCCAAATTCTAATAACTTATTTATTTGGTGGTCATGCAGAGATGTTCTACAGGTACACTGAATTTGGCTGCTGAGCAGGTGAGTTCCTTTATCTACTTTGCCTTGAGGCATTTGAGACTGAACCTCCTTGCCTCTCAGAGGAAAAAAAAGGTTTTAAAAGCCATTTCTTCCTGGATATTTTCCTCAGGATTTCATGGTTTTTTCTCCACCATGGTTCTCTCCATGGCTGGGGGAAAAGAGCACAGACAGAGCAGAGGGGCCTGTAAGTTGGACCTCAGGCCCTGTTGAGCACCAAGCAGTGCTTACACAATGTGGTTTCAAGGTAGTTGCTTTTCTGACTGGATCTAAACATTTTAAATTTCAGTAAACATGGAGAGAATGCTATGCTCTGGCTGGACATTTACTCTCAGAGCAACAGCCCAACAATGAGTGCTGGACATGGCTCCCCATTTCTTCTGCTGCCTTCCTGGGTTTCTTTCCCAACAACAACTTGTATCTAGGAATGAAGAGATCCAGAGGACGTTGTCATGTGTGGTGAAAGACATGGACTCTCTTCCTTGGTTTGAGATTATGAATTTCTTTGCTTGCTTTACTGTTTGGGGCCTACATATCTGAAAGCACTTTTTCCTGCTATAGCAGTATGACTTAACTGGGTGTTTTCTAAGAGTAAAAAAAGGGTTGGCATGCACATTTAATCTTAGAGATAAGTGAATCCCACAGGGCTTGCATCCTGGTGGAGGATGGACTTATTTTATCATGGAGCTGAGCTCACTAAGGTAGCCCTGTGGGTTGGTCATCATCATGGCTAGTGATCTCATCAAGAGAGAGGCAGTCATGTGATCTGGTCTTCACCTTGGTGGATGCATCATCAATATGGGGACAATCACATAGCTTGGTTGCCATTTTGGATGGTAACATTTTAAAAATGGTGGCGATCTGTGTGACCTTGCCACTATCTTAATTCAGCCATCATCAACTGCAATTGGCAGGGCCATCTTTTCCCTTGACTGACAGATACCTACCAGAACCACTACCAGTGTCTGTTTTAAGGCTCTTCCAACAACCTCACCCTCTTCCTGGGGTGGCCCTGGCCTCCACACTATCTGTTTGTATAGCTGAACTAGTGGACTCTCTCACTTTCACCTATTCTCTGCAATACCCATTCTATTTCCACCTTACCTCATGTTTACCAGGGAATGGGGTCTTCTTTCTATGTGGCACTAGTTCCTACCTATGCCTTCCTACCAACTGGACTGGTACCTGCACTCTTGTCTACCTATCTCCTTCCATTTTCCTGGCCCCTGCTGACACCCCTTTTTTGGTCCCAGTGTATTTTCCTTCCATCACAGACATGCTGTGGAACTTGTGGCAGCCTTAGGGATTACTGCCAAAATCGGCATGGGAGCTGGGGTCTTGCTACTGCCATAACTTACTTTCGGACCCTCTTGGTGGAACTCAGGGACTCACTCACAGAAATCAGAAAGCAATTCCTAGAGTTTCAGGCCAAACTAGATTCACTAGCAGGGGTTGTACTCCAAAACAGATGAGGACTAGACTTCCTGTTAGCAGAAAAAGGGAGTCTCTGTCTTGCCCTGGAAGAAGAGTGCTGTTTTTATCATTACAGGTCTGGATATGTGAGGGTGGAGCTAAATGATTATTAGACATGGCAAATAAAATTAATGGCAGACTACGCCAACAGCGGTCCTCTAACCCACCAGTAAGGGTCCTCTAATCCAGTACGGAGTTCCATCTTCCCTTGGTTACTCCCGCCTTGGTCCCCCTAACCATGATTATCCTACTGTTACTCTTCAGAAGAAACGCTGATCAACAGCCCCAACCACTGAGATTCTTGTCAAGTTTGGGAGCATATTTTTTCTCAACTCAATTTCAGCCCTGACAAAAATGCCCACCTGGCCTCCAGTCCGCGCTCTTCCCCTATGAAGACCCCTCCCAGTTGGAAGTAGCCAGAGGATCTACACCACCCCAGCTCCCTATTACCAACAAAAGACTGGAATGTTAGGTCAGTTACAGGAAACCCCAAGCACCAGAGCATTGAAATTCTTTAGACACACACCCAGAAGTAACACCCCACCCCCCAGGTCACATGTGTGGCCTGTAAGGTCAACCTGCTCTTGGCTTCTCGGTATTGCCCCCAGATGTCTCTTTTGTCAGGCTGTTATGGCCTGTGATTCCCGCCCCCCACTTCTGATAAAATCTCCCACTGTATGGCTTACTGCTGCTCTCTATACCCTATCTGTCCCCTGTAAACTGTCTTTCCTTGCACCGAGTGGCTTCTTTTGGTGGTTTCAGACACTTAGAATTCTTATGATGAGCAATATAAATGCTTAATCTAACTCTGTGGGATCTACTATTGATAACCCAATGAATTAATTTCATAAGTACTAGTGGATAGAATTACTTTGAAATTCTTTAACTGATGTCTATCAAGAGATAAAATACCTGTGCAGCAGTTGAACTAGCATACATTAAAAGACATTATTTCTTTAAGTGAAGGCCAGCCCTGCTTGGCAACTCACAGTTCTGAGGAGCATATTTTGACTGGTAAGCAGCCTCGAGCACTCTGCATAGCAGAATATTGCTATGCACAGTGGACAGAGTGCTCTCTCTCTCACACACACATAACTTGGACAATGTGGTACTTAGAATTGTAGATGTGTCACTAAGAAGCCATTTGAACAGGTCTAGAGGGGGGTTCAAAGTCATTCAAGTTAATTAGGAATGAGGACTTTGGACCTAATATTTCATTTCATTTCTTTCTTTTATTTGTAGCATTATTTTATTTTCTGATCCCAAATATAACTCGTATCCAATGTTTAAAAATATTCAGAAGTGGGTTGGAGAGACAGCTCAGTGGTTAAGAGAGAGCACTGGCTGCTCTTGCAAAGGACCTGGGTTCAGTTCCCAACACTCACATGGTGGCTAACAACCATCTGTGACTCTAGTTCCAGGGGATTTGACAGGGCATTGCATGACACGGGTACAATTACATACATGAAGGCAAAACATTCATACACAAATAATAAATAAAAAGCACTGTGCGGTCTTCCATCCTTAAGAACACTTATTTGGAAGTCCCATGAAGAAAAGAAAAGAAACCTGATGGGTGTGGTGGCTCACGCTTTTAATCGCAGAACTTGGGAGGCAGAGGCAGGGGATCTCTGTGAGATCCAGACCAGCCTGGACTACACAGTGAGTTCCAGGCCAGCTGGGGCTACTGGTAGACCTTGTCTCAAAAAAATTTTTTTTAAATTAATTAATTAATTGGAAAAAACCCAAAAAAACCTTTGCCAGCTAGATATGGTGGTCCATGCCTATAACTGTAGCAGGGGAGACAGAGGCAGGAGGATATAAGTTTGAGGCCAATCTGGGCCATATAGTGAAACACTGTCTCAGAAAACCAAAGGCTGGGGATATAGGCCCTTAATATGTATAAGGTCCTGGTTTCAGCCCCCAGCACCACCAAAAATTTAATTAAAGAATAATTACGGGGCCGGGAATGGTGGTGCATACCTTTAGTCTCAGTATTCGGGAGGCAGAGGCAGGCTGATTTTCTGTGACACCAACCTGGTCTACATAATGAGTTCTAGGCCTGCTGTGCCCACAGGGAGACCCTGTCTCAGAAAAGACAAAAAAAGAAAAAGAAAAAGAAAAACTATAGTTAGGTAACAGGGTTTGCCATGCTAGTCTGGTGACCTGAGCTCGATACCCTGAACTCAGGTAAAGGTGGAAGGAGAGAAATAACTCCCCCAAATTGTCTTCTGATCTCCATATGCATCTGTCATATATAACCTCTAGTAAGAATAGTAATAACAACAACAGCAGCATGGACCACTTTCTTATTGATAGCTGCTTTAATACCCAGGGCATCCCCACTACTTTGTGGGGGTTTTTTAGTTTTGTTTTTATAAAAACAGGATGGCCTTACATAGTTCACATAAATTTCTCCAAGAAAAGGTCTATTTCTACACTGAAGCTATCCCTCCCTCGGTTGAAGGATGTGTGTTCACAAGCCAGACCTCTGCCTCGTTCTTCTCTGGAGCACTGTTCCAAGATCTACACAAATGGGGATGGTGGGGAATATGGAACCAGATCTGTACACTTTGGAATGGTATAGGTTCAAACTGAGAAAAAAATAAAGGTTTTCTAACTAAACTACCTACTAACAAGCTGGGGTTGGGGCACAGGTTAGGGTGAGAATGCGTCTCATTCTTGGAAGAACCAGGGGGTCATGTGGCTTCACTGTCCTGATATACTGAAGGGCTAAAACTGGATTGAGCATTCTGGCTCCTCCTATTAGCTGTATAATCTGCATATCAAATCTTATCGCTTAAGCTATGAAGGACCCACTTAATACATTCTTCTGCAATTATGTTTATGTATAATTATGCTTAAAGTTGTTTATATGACATGGTGCATTTTTTGGACTAGTTTGACCTTTTCTGTTTGTTTTTTGAAATAGGGTCTTACTATGTAGGTCAAATTGGCATCAAACTTGAGATCCTCCTGTCTCAGTCTCCGGAGTGCTAGAATTATAGTTGTGTGTCACAATGTCTGGCTGGACATGTTGTTTTTGATATAAGTCTATTATAAACTGATTTTTGGCTGGGGCTCAGTAATTTTTTCATTCCATGTGTATAGTATTGACTTATCATCATGAAATGAATACATTATTGCAATGTATCCCAGGAAGATTGTCTTCATTCAATGTGAATTACATATAGACAGTATATTATAGCTTATATGTTGTATATCATATATTAAATAGTTATGGAAATAATAAGTTACAAAAGTAAAAGAGGGATAATAACTCATGTGGGCATCCTGGCCCGTCCTGTAGAATTTGTTCAAAACCATTACCTGTGTAAAGAAAGGTATTGGAGTGTCCTCCCACCACAACGTCCACACCCTTCACTTTCTGAGCGATGAGCTTATCCATTTCAAAACCAGAGTGTCCCAGGGCAATGATTTTGGTCACATTTAGAGTTTTTAGTTTATCTACTTCAGGTTGCAATGCAGTGATTTCATCTTCAAAGACTAAATTTGTTCCTGAGAAACAAAATTAATAAAATGGATATTAACAATTTTATATTACTCCTTATCATAATACCAACATGTAAGTACAATAAACATCTTATTAAAGCTCTTCAATTACTAAGACCAAAATATATTTATATATCAAGTATAAAATCCATAGAAAGCAAAGAAAAATTTTAATCAGTATTCTTGGTTGCATCGGGTTAAGGCTATAGGTGATATTTTTGCTTAAACTCAATCTCGTACTCTAAGAAGACCAGTATGGTTTGTTGCCTTCTCCTTTTGCATTTAGACTTTCACGGTACTCATACAGAGATTGTCTGAGCAAGAGAAGGGTCACGTGCCCAGCTATGGAGTCCACTACTTTGTTCAGAAACTTGGGATAGTCTTCCAACCTAAAACTGTCAACAAATAACCTTCAGATGCCAACTTAAAATATTTTTTATATTGATTGATTGATTGTGTTCGTTGGGGAGAGGGACGCCATGGCATGTATGTGGAAGTCCAAGGACAATTTGTGGGAGTTTGTTCTCTTCCTCTACAATAAGGGTCTCAGGGATCAGTCTCTGGTCATCAGCTGTGATGACAAGGGTCTTTACCTGCTGAGCCATCTTGTCAGCCCTTGAATGCCAGTTTTAATATAACAGATGATAACTGTTCAGTTTTGCAGACAATGAGTGTCAACATTAGAGCATTACTGAGTACTGAATTCAATAGAGGCTTCATCTAAACATGACTGGCGCTGGGAGGGTGTATATTCCTCAGTGCTACTCACTCCTCTACTCTGCTAATAACTGCCAGCTAGCTTGGGTTTAGCTCCCCAGCCTGCATATTCCTATGCTAAGACCAGGACCTCCCAGTCTCTGCAGCCAAAACTCTGCAAGTCCTTAGGTTTTACAGTTTCAATGATCATGAAGGGATTGCAAATACAGACTGATGCACTGCCCTAAAACCACAACTAACATTCTGCTGCAGAGCAGTCCTCCAGTGGATCCACATACCCCCATGCTACTTTATAAGAACTAGCACAAAAATGAAAATGCCTCCAAAATGCACAAAGCTCATAAAGAACTTTCAAAATGCAAGTCTGTAAACTCTGGTTTGAAAAGCAAGAATCTCTGCAAATCTCAGCAGATACTAAAAATACAGTCCATTGCCATGTTTACTGGCCAGCTTGTGAGTCCTGACCACGTGTCCACCCCACATGTTCAAAGTATCATGAAAGGGAAATAACATAACAGGTACCATGGCCAGGGAGGCTCCAGAAAGACGGCTGGGAAGCTAGCAGCCTCCAGACAGTGTTATCAGTAGCTCTAGGCAACACTGGAAAAATCAAGAGTTGCACCAGCGTCACCACTTCTGTCCACTGTGAGAACCTCAAGGATAATTTGCTTCTTGTGGCTTCCCAGACAGCCCTCCGTCCTGAGGCCCTCTTAATTACTTTTCTGTTGCTGTGATAGAAATACCCAACATAAGCAACCTTAAGGAAGAAAGGGCTGATTTTAGCTCACAGTTTGAGGGTACAGTCTGTCATTAGGGCAAATCCCGGTGGCAGGAGCTAGAGGCAGCCTAACTGCACCCAAGGTCAGGAAGCAGAGTGATAAATGCTCCCACTCAGCTAGCTTCCTCTTATGCAGAGCAGGAGGACTCAATCTGAGGGAACAGAGCCATCTTCCTTTAGAGTGGATCTTTCCAGCTCTAATCTAATCAAAGCAGTCCCTCACAAGTATGCCCAGAGACTAACCTAATCTAAATAATCCCTCACCTGTGTACTTGGAGGCTTGTCTCCTAGGTGACTGAAGATCCTGTCAAGTTGACCATCAACACTAACCATCACAGTCCTTCTCTGCAAGCCTTCCCTGAGCATCCTTTTGAAATGACAAGGTACACCTCCTGCCACACAGGGCCTTTCCCCCACCTCCTCCACTACCTTCTGACATGCTAGACACTTTACTAGTTTATTCTCCCACTGGATAAGTGAGCGGGGGGACAAAGACACTGGTCCCTGGGGGAAGGAATGATGTGGACAGAGTGCTGCCATCTTCTACTTTGGTTGGACTGGCAACAAAATAGTTCAGTGAAATGCCTCAGGATCAGGGACTGTGTTCACCTCATACATCATACACCAGAAACCTCATGGGGATGGGTTCCACACACACCGAATGCACAGGATGTATTTTAGAATCCCAGAAGACTCTCCTCTCTCTCTCTGTCTCTCTGTCTCTCTGTCTCTGTCTCTCTCTTTCCTCTGTCTCTCTGTCTGTCTCTCTCTCTCCTCTCTGTCTGTCTGTCTGTCTGTTTGTCTCTCTCTCTCTCTGTCTCTCTCTCTCTCTCATAAACACACACAGAGGAATTTCATTGCCCAGCTAAACTAAGTTAAATGTGCTAGAAATAGATGTAATACATGTTTGAGTGCTTAGGTCACCAGAACTAAAAAACAAAACAAAACAAAAAAAAAACTACATTGTATTCAGGGCCGGAGATCTATAAGAACACCCTGTGCCAGGTTTCACTTACAATTTTGAACACACTGAATTAAACACATACTGTTTATGTCAACAAAGAAGTTCACTGAGCAGAGGTATAGTGCTTTTAAGAAGTAACTCAGAACAACATAGACTCCACCAGCTTGATTTTGTCATTATTCCATGAACACACATTTCCCAGTTGTTCCTTCTGCTTACAGTCCATGAAAATAGTGTCAAGCTATGGCTTACTACATCTATTTCCAAGCCATGAGTGCTGTAAAAGTGGAAAATACCTGGATTTGAGAGAAAAGGGGTTTCTTTTGAAGTATATCCAACAATTCCCACAACTTCACCACCAACAGAAAGAATTTTATATGGCATATAAAGTCCGGATATCTGAGGAGCCAGCGGTCCCTTTGCTTTAATGTTTGCACTCAGAATTGGAAATTTGGCATTTCTGAGGAGTGGATCAATCAGTCCTTCCACACCGTTATCAAATTCATGGTTCCCCAGTGCCTAGATAAAAGAGAAAAGAAAAAAAAAAAAGAATTAAGTACCCTGGAATTTCCAATAAAAACATATCTTAAAAAATTATTACAGTAGTCCAGTGGCTTCTGAAACTGGCTAGGTTCTATGAGGCGAACCCCATAGCCTGGTGTCTTCCTCACCTCCAGAGGTGTGATTCAGGGGCTGTGGGGGTGGGCTCAGAGACACTCAGGTCACAGGTACAGCACTGCTGCCCTCCGTCTCCCCCATCTCCTGAAGTTGCAGTAACTAATGCACACAGCTGTCTCCGCTAGCTGGGAGCCACTGCCCCACTGTTCTCCATCCTGGCTGCTGTAGAGGCCACCTTTACTAGGCCCTGCCAAGCCTTTTCCTGCTGTTTTCCTGAGTTAGACCACACTTCAGACCTAATCTTTCAAACCAGCACCTGTTTGGCAGAATGCTGACATCCCTAGACCTGCCTCCTTACCACTTTTCTTGGGTCATCACACCCCAAGGTTCCCATGATTGCTCTTCCTGAGGATGCCTCTAATTCTGGGGAAACAGGGGCTGGTAGGCAAGAGCCTGTGTCTCCATGTTTTAAGGTGGGTGCTGGCTTCCTGCTCTAGTCAGCTCCATGCCACCCTGTACCCTGAGCAGGAGAAAAGGACTGGGAACATTATGGAGCTATGGAAAGAGAAAGGAGCCCCTCTCTGTGGAGTCTGGTTGAAGGCTCTCTCCAGCTGAGAAGCAAGAATTTCAGCACAATTAACATTCACTGTGAAGGTCGCTGGCATAGGGACAATATTCCTTTTCTATAGAGTTGTTTTTATTTTTTTCAAATAGAATGTTAAAATAGTCCATGTAATTAAAATGAACCATCGAAGTCTGTATGACCTTCAAATACAGCCTTATCCTTTTGCAGGTGTTTTCTAGGAATCTCACAAATAAGACTAAAGCTTTGTTTACAGTAAAACCAGCTTAACTTTCCTTGTAACCCTTTACTTTCTCAGCTGTGATACGTAATAGCCAGTACATCTAAGAGCTATCCTGTGGCCTCATTTACCAAGAAAGAAAAGGTTCCTTGGAAACTCTTTGAGGTACAACTGCAGAAGCCACCGAAAGCTGTATGTATGGCTACTGAAAAGACAATCACATCTCTCTTGAGAAACTCACAGCCATACTCGGGGACATAATCCCCTTCCCCGAGTAGCTCTCTTTCTATGAATTCCCAAGCTTAAATCCATATGGAACTTTCTTCCCAACAAACTCCAGCTCTGCTTCATAGTGGTTCATCCTGAAATTCTTTTCTGTGGCAAAGCCAAGAGTCTCATCTGAGTAGAAAGTCTCTGAAAAGAACCACTCAGGCTGCTGCAGGCTGAGGCTGTCTCAGGCCTGCACCCCGCTGATGCTGGCAGCCTCATTCCCAGCAGTTTATGTCCAGGGAGAACCTCCTGATGAAGTGACAATGAGCCCTTCAGAAGGTTCTGGATTCACTCTGCATATAACACTTCAGGTAGAGCAGGGATGGTGTCATGTGTCATCATTATGATACCCCTCCAATCCCCCAGGGTCAGATGTATCAAACATGGCACCCGTCACTTTCCCCAGAAAGCCCCTTCCCCACTTGGCCTCCTGGACAAACTCAGCTCCCCTGGGTACTCACCCACTTGCTCTGGCTGCCAAAGCCATTTTACCACTCCAGTGCTTAAACCACGGACTAACTTTGTCAATACCACTTCATTTTGCTTCACTTTTTGGGTCATCCAGCAACATGCCTGGTGACCCCTGAAGCCACCAAGGACCATGATTATCTTCAGCTTCACCTCCTCCTCCCAGTGAGGTAGGCAAGCATAGGGAGTAGGTTAGTAACCTGGGATGCCGCTTGGTTTGGGCTGTGCACACACCCCTTTTCTAAGAAGGCACCTGGCAGCCTGGTACCCTCACCTGCACATACTACATACAGACTCTCCAAACAATGTACCTAGCAACCTGTTAGCAACCTAGGCACCTCCACCTGCACTGAGCTGCACACACACACATCTTTCTCTAATGGGATTGCTTCTCTTTTCCTTACACCATAGTTTCTATTCAACTTACTCCTGTTATATCTGAGTATAAGGATAAGGGAATGATCCAGCCTTGAACTACTTTTGGATGCATGCAAGATAAGGCAAACTGTGTCCTCTAAGTGAACTTTTAGGGTGAATCTTCTATTTATGATCTCATGCCATTGCTTATTTGAGCATGCATATGATTAAAATCAGGTGCATTATGGGAAGGGACAATAAAGGAAAAGTTATATAACTTAAACCTATCAATCGAAAGAGAACCACCTAAATTACGCCCACTAACCAGCCCTTCCTTCCTTTAGACCCCATAAAAGAAGCCTTGGACAATAACCTAGCCCTTGAGCATACTCACTCAAGTGGCTGGTCCACTGTCACTTTTTTTTTTTTGTCTTTTTTGAGACAGGGTCTTCCTGTAGCACCAGCTAGCCTGGAATTCACTATATAGACCAGGCTGGCCTTGAACTCACAGAGATCCACCTGCCTGTGCCTCCTGAGTGCTGGGATTAAAGGCGTGTGCCACCACACCCAGCCTCCACTGTCACTTTTTTAAAAAAAGAATTTTATTTATTTTTATTTTATGTGTAAGAGTGTTTCACCTGCATGTATGTAAATGCACCTGTATGCACAATGCCCTCAGAGGACAGAAGAGGGTGTTAGATCCTCTGGGACTGGAGTTCTGGCCTGTTGTAAGCTGCACATGGGTGCTGGGAACTGAACCTGGGTCTTCTGCAGGAGCATCCATGCTCTTAACTGCAGAATCTCCAGCCCCACCCACTGTCACTCTTGATTGTATTTCTTTCTGACCTGTACTATCATTTAGCTTTGGAATAGTTTCCTTGCTACTTTGCAATCTGTGTGTGCCTTTATTACAATTCTTTGAAGAAGAGGCCAGGAACCTGGAAACATCATCTGTTCCAGGTTACTGACCTCGTTACACCAGTACATTCCACATCTATGATGATACGCTTGTGGGGGTCACTATCTGTCTGTTCCCTAGCTAGATTGAATGCTCCTAACCTGCCACGTCCTGCCCTTTCTGTCCTGCTGAGTGCTGGGTCTCCTCACCTGGCACACAGTCATTCACTGAGTATCTGCCATTCAAATTTGTGCATACATCCTCGTGGAAAGCAGCACATCTTTACATTCCTACCCTGGTAAATTCAGAATTTCTCAGTTTGCTTTTCTCCCCCTCTTGGATCGTTAAGCCATTTTTACCTCTTCCTCTTATCTGATTAATTTCTTCTCCAAAAGCTGATCTAGCCTTAAAGGCTCTTCCTGTCTTGGGCAATTGCTTTTTGTGTGTTTGTATGTTTCGGGACAGGGATCCACATAGTCTCAGCTGGCCTGGAACTCCACTATGTAGACCAGGCTAGCCTCGATTTCACAGAGATCCACCTGAAGGGCAATTATTTTTTCCTTCTTCTAGTCTTAGAACTGCAAGTCTTCTTTCTATGGTGAAATAATTATCCTTTGTTACACAATAGTCTTAAGTACAAACATACTTGTTTTTAGTGAATGTTTCTACAATTTTGATTTTATTTTGTTGGGGTTTGGCTGGTTGGTTTGGGGCTTTCTGAGACAGGGTCTCACTGTGTAGCCCAGGCTGGCTTCAAATTTATAGTTCCCCTGCCTCAGCCTCCAGGGTGCTTGGATTTGAGGGATGTACCTCCACATGTGGCCATTTTCATAGCTCTTTCTAAACCATCATCCAACTGTCCAACGTTCTATCCCTAGTATGTGGCAACAGCTCAAATTACAGTTCTTGTTTGTTGCATTTTCAGTGTCTTGTCCCCTCTTCCCTGACCTCAATCCTGACTTGAGTTTGAGGGCTACCTTATTGACTCTTTTTTTAAATTTATTTTTATTGTATGTGTATGAGTGTTTTACCTGCATGTAGGTTAAGTCCACCCATGCATACAATGCCCATGGAGACCAGAAAAGGGTGTCGGATCCCCTGGAACTGGAGTTAAGGAGAGTTATTAGCAATCATGTGGGTTCTGGGAACGATATCCAGGTTCTCTGAAAGAGCAGCCAGTGCTCCTGACTGAGCCATCTCCCAGCCTCATGTCTTCTTGCTTCTTTATCTCATGGGTGGAAGAGTTCAGTGGAAAGACTGACCAAACGGCCTCATTTGCCTTCACCTTCAAGGTCAAGCTTAAAATCTGAGGTGACCTCCCAGTCAGTTGTCTTGTTCCCGTTCCCTGGGTGTTCCAACAGGAGCCCAGCTTTTCATGCCCAAAGCTCCATCCTCTGAGGTTTATCACCTGGGCCCACAGTGACCCCATCTCCTCAGTCAATAAAGTCCTGCTACCTCTCCCACTTTCCTAGCCCTCACCTCCTGTTAGGCAGCTGGTCAGACATTAGTAAGCTTGGAGGACACTGAGGATGGATAACCCCTTCCCCCATATGCTGTAAGCAGCTTTGGACCATACTACTTGTGTCCCTGGTTATACACTAATTTTGAGAAAAGGTAAGTATCACAATAGCTCCCCTTAGAACATGAGATGCCATCTCAAGGGGGAAGTGTCACAAACATCACAAGAAAGGGAGAAAGATGGAGTAGCAGCATTTTGCCTTATAAGGCCCATTCAGGGAAGGTTATTTCCTCCTGGGAAAGCATGGATATCTTACAGTTTTATTTTAAAATTTTTTCTTTAGTTATTTTGAATCTATTCTGTTACATGATTTTTAGTCAAAAGAATGGGTCTGAATTGTACCTCTGGCCTCTGGTGGAGACAAAACATTCTAAGTTATCTAAAAGGTTACAAGATCACAAAGGCCTTCTATTGTCCGCTCCCTTAAAAGTTAATCCAAATGGGCCAGTTGCTCCACCTGGACAGAAGAATTCCCCTCATAGTCACAACTTCAAAGATGGGTGTGGTGGCATAGGCCTTTAATCCCAGCATCAGGAGGCAGAGGCAGGTGGATCTTGTGAGATTGAGGCCAGTCTGGTCTAAATAG